AATGTAGCAAGACTTATGTTGAGCCCAAATTCCCAAAGAAAAAATTGATAGAAAACTAAGTTCGGTACTAAGGAGTTTCTGGAAGGTTTTAAAACCAGAACAACAGTTTACAAAAGATAGTTAAAGGATAAAAATGTCCCAGCAATGGTTAAGAATCCCCAAAGATTAAATAAGTTGCATTTCTCTTCTGATAAAGGCTATACTAGGGGTGGAGGCAGTTTTTCTTACGAAGGCCTCCCTGAGAAGCCAAGTATGGTCAATGGAGAGATGACACATATGACTACAGTCAGGAGGCAGAACCAGGGCCTACCAGACTCAGGGAACCAACAGGTGCAGCGGGGACAAGATATACCCCTCGCCTCCTTAACCCAGTGCAGGGTCTGGCAACTGGAGCCAACACCTGTAAGCATACCAAAGATAAAAGAATATAAAGAGACTTCATGCAAGATTCCCTAGAATGCGGAATGAGTCCCAAGGAATAACTAAAGATACTAAAGAACTAACCAAATTAATGCCTCTTAGACATGCTATGGTACCTAACAAAGATCTATGGAGAAAATAGTTAATATGAATGGATAAAACCTTTCTATGCTGTGTTAGATCTTGTCTATGATTGATATATGATGTTAACCTTCCTTCGAGTGTTTTACAGATGTGAAACCCATTTGAAAGATACCTAAAGAAACAAAGGCCAGCTATAACTGTAAGATTCTTTGGAGTTTTATGGTTGGGTAAGATAAAAACAGAGGCTCCCAAACTATACTATGAGCTGTTGGTCAGAGAGCGATCCTAGAGCTCCTCAAATTCACCAAGGCTATTGCCACTAATGTCGGTTGTACACTAGAAAGGTCGGTAAGGCCATGTTGCTGAAGACACTGCATGATGTGAGTGCAGGAGGAAAAGAAGAGATGGAGTTGAGAGTAAGCCTCCGTGCCACTGGATGGATGAGGTTCTTAGTACCAGAAGGCACTATGCAGATAGTTGGATAAGGAAGGATCCCCTATGATTCCACTCAACAATGGACCCCATGTGTTGCACACTATGGATATGCCAAGCAATGCCTGCAAGTGCAATAATGGCTTGACTAACAGATGCACAACTGACAAATTTCTAATTGGATAAGGCCCGCTTCTAGGGGTGGAACACACATCTGGTACTGTAGACCAGGCCAACTCCCTATGTTGAGAAAGGCTACAGGCCCTAGTGGGAAAGCCATTACAAGTATACCGTTTAATGAATATAGTACACCTACTAGGATATTCTCTGGGCATTTGTATTTACGCTCATGTTTGTTTAGATGTATCTGCTTCTTTCCATTTGTCTTTATAGTAGAAGAAACACCACTGAGATAGATCAATGGCCATGGCTTGAAGATGAATAATGGGGAGACCCAAAATGTCAATATCTGCCATGATACAAGAGAAATCGCCCTACATCTATAACCCCCTCCAAGGCTCAGGGACCTTAGTAAAAGATTGGCAGAAAGATTGTAAGAGCCAGAGGAAGGGGTGGAGTGTGTCCAGAGGGGCACTTTTTCCTCCAAAGGGCAGGACCTGCTGCAGAGAATTGGCTGCAGAGAGTTAGCCATGGAGAGAGGAGCATTGGGGTCATCTTGGGCAGAAGTGGTGACATGGAAAAAAATGGCCTCGGTGTCTCACTCGCATGGACATGGAGCAGGGTTACCAACCTGGGGCAAGACTGTGGGCCCATGCAGCATGGGCAAAAGCTAATGGAGACTGTGGGTGGGCCACAAAAGTGATCTGGAATGGCAGGCCACTGAGCCACTGTGTGGAACAGGGCGCCAGGTGTTCGCCTTTGTAAATTACTCTATTTCCCCTACCTTAAATATAAACTATGAAAAATAAAAAAAAATACATAAGCTCTCACCTGGGCTCATGCCTCCTACCCCATTTAAATGCAGTGTCACACAAACAAACAAACAACAACAACAACAACAATTGACCAGTCTTTGTGTCACAACTTTTGTCTCAGCACCAGGGAGACAGAGGCAGGCAGGTTTCTGTGAGTTCCAGGGAAGAATGCTATTCATAGGGAGATGCAGTTCAGTCAGGATTACATAGTGAGACTGTCTAAAAAAGAAAGGATTAAAACAGTAGAGGGATTTGTTGGGAAGTGTTTGTGGAGGAGGAAAGAAGATGAGAGGTTACCAGGGAATATGATCAAAACACTTTATATATAGTGTGTGTGAGATTGTGTGTGTGTGTGTGTGTGTGTGTGTGTATGTGTATGTGTGTGGTGTACTGAAGTTGTGAAAGAATAGTTCTTTAAAAGTAAATGAAGCATATGTCATTGGCTTAATCCAAAATTACTGTTAAACAGCTTGTGTCATAATACTATTCTCCAAATGTCAAGCTTGGTTGCACCCACTTGCTTAGGATCATCATAAACAAACTCACTGTTGGCCATGGCAAGAAAGGAGGGGCCAGAAGGGATAGCCACAGCTCTCAACCCATCAGCTGACCTGAGTCACACCAGGGGGAGGGACTAAGGACACCTAATTGGAAAGCCATGAGATCACAGGATCTCTGCCACCATGTAGAGGGGTGACTACCCCTGCTCTCACTTCTGTAAGTAATCCCCTCACCCACTGCTCTATAAGCAGTAAATAAACTCATTGGTTTCCCAAACTGCAGTTTGGTGGAGTCATGCCTGGTTTTGGCTTCAGACTGGGAGGAGGGGGTGGGATGTCCTGCATCTAACAGAACAAATTTTAGCAACATAACTTCACAAACAAATAATACAGAATGAGTTTACCAAATGTTTAGCAGTTGAACACATAAGTGATATCACTGTATTTATTCTTTTTTAATTTATTTAGACAGCATCTCCTTGTAGCCCAGGTTGGCCTGGAACTCACTATGTAGACCAGGTTAGCCTCAATCTCACAGACATCTGACTTCCTCTGCCTCCAAAGAGCTTGGATTAAAGTCCTTTTCTACCATGCCAGGTCATGAAGGCATTTTTTTTGGATCTTTTTGAGACAGGGTCTCCCTGTAGCCCCAGCTGTCCTGGAACTCATGTAGACCAGGCTGGCCTTGGTCTCACAGAGATCCACCTGCCTCTGCCTCCCAAGTTGTGTGCCACCACACCCGGCTATGAAGGCATATTTTTAAAAGTTTATTTTTATTTTATTTTATGTGTATGAGTGTATTGCCTGCATGCATGTAAGTGTACCAGTATCATGCTATGTGTGTGGAGGTCAGAAGCGGGTGTCCGATCCTCTGGAACTGGAGTTATGAATAGTTGTTGTTAGAGCCCAGGCTCAGTGTGACCTTCCCCACAGTACAGCAAGACTTTGCAACCCCTGCAGGACAAGTTCTGCAAAATTCTGAGGGGGCCCCTTGGAATGGAGGAACTGAGTTAACAGTTAAAATTAGCCATCTTCAGACAGACAGACAGACAAACAGATCCTTACTCCCATGACCCAAGACCCAACTGATGTAAGAGCTGTCTCAGAACAAGGTGCCTCCCCCGATATGTTTTACAATGTGCAGACTGCTGCTTCCCCTGAAACTGTAAAGATTGTTTTTGCCACCTTCCACATTCCCAACCCCCTGTAAGAACTTCCCCAGCAGTCATCAGGCTGCTGGTTGCTTTTCTCTCCTGAGCTGAGCTGCCAGCTACTAGCAGTCTTCAAAATAAACTCTGTTTGCTGGAGTCCTCCTGTATTTTCTGTGGCTATTCCCTGCCTGGTTTTTATCTAACAGTTGTTAACCACCATGTGGGTTCCAGGAAATGAACCTGGGTCCTCTGCAAAGGCAGCCAGTGCTCTTAACTGCTGAATCGACTCTCCAACACCATGAAGGTGTATTTTTACACAGAGTTTCAGGTAGCCCAGGGTAGGCCCTTCACTGTAGCCGAGGATGACTTTGAACTTGAACTCTAAGTTTCACTTGCTGAATGATGACATTGTTGGTTTATGTCACCAAACTTAGTCTTATGTGGTACTGGGATCTATCATGCTAGAGAAGCACTCTACCAGCTGAGCTATATTCACAGCTCAGAACTTGGAGAGTGCTGACTTGATCAGTTTATGCAATATCAAGACAAAACCAGTTAAGAACACATTGATCTCACAGCTTGCAACAATGAGACTCTCAAATGGAATTTTGAGTGAATACTGGTGGCTTCAGGAGTACATCAGAAATGGCAGAAATGACATTCAGGATCATGGATGGAACAGGTGTACTGGTGTCAACAGTTAGTCTTTCTCTTTCTTCAAAACTTCAAACACTTTCCAAATTTTTGACCAACATTAGCATATAGCATTTTCCTGTAATTTAATTCTAGTTTTATTCATTTGTATTAATATGAAATTTAAAACTACTGGTTTGATCCTTTTGTGTATAATTAAAAATGACGTGAAACATTGGTGAATATGTTAACAAATAAGTTTTATATTAAAATATTGCAGTAATAAAAGGGTCATGGTAAAAGCCGACATCACTGGTGATTATTTCCTTTGTGTTGTAGTACACTCATCCTCTTATGACATGGACCTGGTGTTATTCTTTATTTTGTGTAGCTGAGGAAATGGAGGCTTAAAATTTTTTAACTTATTAAATATTATACAGTTAATAAGTTATATCATATCATGAACATAATGACTTTTGAATCTGTTGTAATGCCACCAAAATTATGGTTTTCATAATATGATTATCTAAAATTTCAGTATGAGCAAAATATTATTTAATGTAGGGTTAACAGTTACGAGCCTGTTTTATGTAGAAAAGTAGTTTCCACTAAAAATACAGATATACAGACACATATTTCATGATTTTCAGTTACTACATGAATTTTTAAAATCATATTCTTGGATATCTCCAAGACAAGTTTACATAAAGGAAGCTCCATATGCCATAAACAAGGCTTTCAACTGTTCAGCTATTAGAGAGAGAGAGAGAGAGAGAGAGAGAGAGAGAGAGAGAGAGAGAGACTGACTAAGGGAGGAATCACTATGGTAATAAAGACAAACCATGTCAATCACTTATAATCACTGTTAGCTTAGTTTCCTGGATCCCTCTCTTCTGCAGGACTCTGCTGACAGCACTTTTCACTTCCTTGTTTCTGAGACTATAAATGAGTGGGTTCAGCATGGGGATCACAATGGTGTAGAACACAGAAGCCACTTGATCCTTTCCTAAGGAGTAGGATTTACTTGGTTTTAAATAAGTAAAGATTAGAGTGCCATAAAAGACAGTGACTCCCAGGAGATGAGAGGCACACGTGGAGAAGGCTTTTTGCTTTCCTGCAGTGGACTTGATTTTCAAAATTGTATGAAGAACTGACACATAGGATACTGATATTGTAATAAGGGACATCATCAGTGTAGAACCTGCAAAAATGAGTATCATGATTTCAATGTCATGTGTGTCCCTGCAGGACAGGGCTAAAATTGGGGATGTGTCACAAAAAAAGTGACGAATAACACTTTTGGAGTCGCAGAAACTCAATGTGCTCATATAAAGCAAATTGACAGAGGAATCAATAGCTCCCATCATATAAGACATAATGAGGAGGGCACAGCAGCGTCTTGTGGACATAATGACTGGGTAGTGTAGAGGGCTACAGATAGCCACATAGCGGTCATAGGCCATTGAAGAGAGAAGGAAACACTCAGCACCAGCCAAAAGGACAAAAAAATACATCTGTGTGAAGCATCCCATGAAGGAAATGTTCTTGGTCGATGTCAGCATGTTCTCTAAGGTTTTAGGTGTGATGACAGTTGAATAACTTACATCAATGAATGACAAATGACTGAGGAAAAAATACATCGGGGTGTGAAGCTGGACATCTAGAAGAATGATGAGAATCATCCCTGTGTTCCCCAGCACAGTAACCAGGTATATCAGGAGAAACAGCACAGAAAGGACCAGCTGGACCTCCTTGGAATCTGTCAGGCCCATCAGGATGAAGTCAGGCTCAGCTGTATAATTCCAGTTTTTCATAGTGATCTTCCCTGAACTGTTGAGAAATTATGAGTGATACTTAACTAGGGTGACTTAGAAAACAGTTGGGTTTGTGTGTATATTCCATTATTTTTACAATTAGTTTCAGTTGTTGGAAAATTAACATTAATTTTACAGTGCTTTACTGTAGAAATTGTTCCCCAGTAACATGCATATCTGTAAATTATTTTTTAATATAATAAAGAATAGCATGCTCCATAATTTCAATGAAGCAGTAAGTATCCTAAATGCTTTATCTTATGAGCATCTCTAATCTAAATGAAAGTTATACAGTAGGTATTCTATCCACTGATTTTAGAAGAGGAAAAGGCTGTAGAAAGCAGATGAAATCACTGAAAGTCCATTTACTGATTGCTTTGCCAATGCATTTTGGAAAAGACATGTACAGGATACTCTATTCAAATTTAAATTCTGTTCATTAAACACAAAGTATTAAACCTATTACAAACAAAGATTGAAAGCAAACATCATTTGTTGGTCATTTCCTTTCAATATCAGTTAATACTAATTAAAAATGTTTCACTTTTTAATGATGCTTAGTAAGTTTAATTAAGACATATAACATCATTGAAGATCTGATGCTTTGCTTTCTTGATTCAAAATTCTTCTAGAATAATATTATCAGACTATAAGCAGTACTTGTAAACTGGTTCTATTAAAAGTACATTTCTGTTTCCACAAATACTAACATTACTTGCATTCAGTACAAATGATAAGGATACACATTTTTTAATGAAAATTTTATTCTATTTTAACTGATGCAAACTCTTCCAATTTTAAGAATACTTACAGTAATCCAAACAGTGGAAAACAACAACAATACAAAAGTAACTAGGTGTTTCCAATTTTATTTGGTTGAAACTTTATCAAATCCCCATTTTTCCCACAAAAAAATAGAAAATGTGTTTAAAACTTTGAAAAAGTGTGGAGTACACCATTCCTTTCCCTTCAGATTATTATTTACACATTTAGGGGCATTGATTTTCTTCTCAACATTAGGCAAATAGTATCTCCCAAGAAATTTCTCTGAGGTCTTGGTCAAATGGGAAATTTCTCGGGAAGATATGGCTCTGAAGGACCCCAGGAGCTACTGGGAATATAAGCACCGGCTAATCCAGGTGCCTCTTGTGAGGACCTGAGTCTCAAGCAACATGCGGTCATCCTCAAGGGCCCATTTCCAAGTAAGGTTAGTTGGCAAGCTTTCAAGAAAGCAGTTCAAGGATGAATTCAGTAAAGGTTTCACTTTTCCCTAGGAGCCTCATAAGTAAACATGAGGACTTTGTCTTCTTTTCTGATGCAGTACACTGTAATCATATGTAAATATAAAATATCCAAATCAACACATTAATTATATACATCTATTATGTACAATATTTAGATACTATACTGTGGAAAAAGGAATCTTTCAGTAATATATGTGGTTACTTTACCAATGATATTCTGATGGATGGAATGGTCAGTTTTAATTAAGACACACTTCCAGTAAGTATGATTCCGTCAAGGGTAAAACGTGTTCATTAAAAACAACAGAATATCCCAAGATGAGGCAGTAAAAGGAGAATATAACAATTTACATAAAAGATCTAAAGTACTCTTAGGAGATTTGCATTCATTCATAACAAAGTAAATTTTCATGTAAATGTAAAAATGACTAGGTCAGGAGAGTGTGTGCATGTCCCAGGATTTCAGGGCATAGTTTATATTTTTGGATCAAGATATTTTGTACCTACTATATCTTTAATGAACTTTTTTGAGGACAATATTCTTTATACAAAGATTCTTATTTGATGCTGATTAGAAAAGTTAATAAACAGATTTTTAAAAACCCATATCCAACCATATGACAAACAGATGGTGACTTGGAGATATAGAAAAATGAAATTTTAAGGCTGACTTTCTCCATAAATCTCATTTCAATAGATATTCTTCCTGCTTGCCAAGGTCAAAACAAAGTTTTCTTGTACCACCTTTTCTCCTTAATGTTGATGTTAATCCAACATGGGTCAGTTTATGCTGGCAAGATAAATAATGTGCTAACATTATGGTAGCAAAATTATAATTTTGTTTGGAGATACTTTCCTAAAATATTCTTTGAAATTTTCACACATGCATACAATATATTCTGATTGTTCCCACCACCCCTGCATTGTCTCCCTCCCACACCTGTCAACCATTTCTTCTCCCCACTAGCCCCTTTTCCATATTTATGTGTTCCTGCTTTGTTCTGAGAGATAATGGATTGCACCAGGGCCATTTTACTGACAGTGGGTTTGGAATTCTCTGTTGGAAGCTGATGGGCTTTCCACAGGTTACACAAAGAAAGCAGTGACTCCTTATTTTTCAGAATCTTTCAGTGGTCAATAGTTCAGTGAGGGTGGCTAGTTCTCCCTGATTACTCCTCCATCCTTGGTTGGCTGTTGGCAGACCTATTCATGTGGCGGCTCAGTGCAGGCAAATGAATTTGCATTGAATTCATGATTGGAATGATGTGTCATTCCCAAAATACGGCCTTACATAACTTTTCTCTCCCTATTTCATAGTTCTTACCTTTTTTTTCCCTGTTCCCTTTTCCAGAACATTCTCTGAGCTTTGAAGAAATAACTTCTTTCTGACTGAACAGTCAAACCCCACTTACTATCAGGATGTGAATCAATCATATGTCCCTGTATTCATCACCTTTCACTTCAAAGAGAGGCTTTCCTGGTTAAGACTGAGATTAGAATTTGTTTATGGGTATAAATATAAATATTTATAAGGTAGATTGATACATATCAAATCAGCTAACATTTGTAAGTTCATATCTAAGGCCCATTACTTTCCCAGACATGAATTTTTTAATTGGAGCTTACAGTGGAAAAAAATGGATTTTTTTCTTTTTTAAAATGAATTTTTAAAATATCATATTTATCATTTTTATGTGTATGATTGTATTGCCTGCATGTATGTATTTGCACCTGTGTCCTGCAGGGCCTGCAAAGATCAAGAGAGGGTGCTGGATCACCTGAAACGGGAGTTACGACAGTTGTTAGGTACCTTGTGAGTGCTGGGAACCAAATCCAGGTCCTCTGAAAGAGAAGCCAGTGCTCTTAACTGCTGATCCATCTCTCCAGCCCCCAAATGGATTCTCTCTGTGGGGTAGGCCTCAAGTTAAATGAGAGAATGGGCTGTTAGTACCACAGTAATCGTATCACTGTCGTGTGACTGGACAAGATTTGCCTGGCACGTTGATATTGTAGTTCATAGAATCTATAGTGTTTAATTATCTTCCAATTTAAAGATAATGCATTTAAGTTCTTAGTTCTGCACAGTTTAAACTGCTTCTTAATTATGTTCTCACTTTTTAACCCTCTCTGTTTTTCTTCATTTGTTAAATAGTTTTTGCTACTGTTTTATATTTCATCTTTGAATCACTAGAGAATGAAAAAGTTCTCTTTCCTTTATTTAATGTAGTTATTTAATTTTCTTAGCATTTGTTAATTATACAACATAATGTGCTTCATACATGTTTATAGTTGTTGTTCATATGTAATCTCCTGCATTTCCTTCCCTGACTCTCTTCTCCCCCGTTGCTTATCTTCCTCCTCAGATACTTCACCTTCAATTTTCATGGGTTTTATTTTTATAGATTTCACATGTAAAACAAAATATGTTTTAGTTTCTCTGAGACGCTTGCTTCACTTAACATGCTGATCTCCATCCGCATTCTTTTTTCACAGGATCTGATCGGTTTAATGCATGAAGGATTCAGAGTTTCTTATTTTATCTGTGGATGAATGGCTAGGTTAGCCTCATGCCTTGGCTAATGTGAATAGTTCTACAACATGGGCGTATGGCTAGTTCTAATGTACAATCCCTATGATTCCTATATCTATATATTCAGGAGTGGTATATTTGAATGATACGGTAATTGCATTTTTGTTTGTTTTATTGAGGAACCTACACATCAGATGCTGTACTAGCTACACTGCTTTGCTTTCTAACCAGAAGTGTACCAGATTTCTATGCCCCTCTATATGTGCTAGTATTGATTTCTGTGTGAGCTCTTTATGATGGCCTATCTAATTGGGTGGATAAGGTGCAAACTCTTATAGTTTTGATTTACATTTCCCTCATGGATAATACAGTTAAACTTTTTAATGTAGTCGTAGATCTCCTGAAAATGTTTAAAGAAGTGTCTATTCTGTTCAGTTGCTCTTTCATTGATTTTCCATGAGCTCTTTTGGTATTTCATATTAAAATATTCCCTACAAGGGCCCTCTGGCACACAAATAATGGGCAAAAACTTTATTTCATTTTAAACTCTTCTTCAGTCTTCAAATAGTATTACTCCCCATGCAGTAGCTTTTTAATTTTTGTAGAGTCTCTAATTCCCTCAGTGTTTGTAGTCAGTATTTTTGTGGAGAATCAAATGTAGTTTGGTGATTTGTTTATGGGATCCTTTTCAATTTCATTGGTCCACGCATCTATTTCTGTTACGGCACTGTGATGTTTTTTGCTGCTCTGGTACTGTAGTAAAATTTGATGTGCACTATGAGGGTTGGTATCTCCAGCAGCACTTTTATGCTTTGGATTGCTTTGTCTTTTTATAGATTATTCATGTTTATATATGAATATCATATTTTTTAAAATTCTGTGATAAATGCCACTGGAATTTTTAATGGCAATTGCATTGAATCTCTAAATCACTTTTGAAATATGCCTACTTTATAAAAATTAAGCCTACTGACCTATTATCATGGACTTTGCAGTTTTTTATTTTCTTTTATTTATCATTGTTCTGTAGTGTTAATTTTTCTCTCTTACATAGAATAGAGGAAAGAAAATAGACCCATATCTATCACCCTGCACAAAAACCAACTCCAAATGTTTCAAAGGCCTCAATATGAAACTTGAAATGCTGAAACTTTTAGATACAGATGCAGGAGAGAACTTTTGAAAAGAACTTTTTAAGATCAGCAATTGACAAATGGGACTTCATA